GCTAGAATATACAACTTATTCAAAACCATTTCTTTTGATACCCATATTGAGATAATTGAAACAGGTGGCAACCCTCCTACATTTAGCTAGAATATACAACTTATTCAAAACCATTTCTTTTGATACCCATATTGGGATAATTCGTTACTTTATAAATAATTTGAATTTGATTTTCGTATATATGGCAACCCTTTAAAAGACTAAAACCATACTGCACATCTGCAGGTCAAGCCCTTTCATGTGACACCNTGTGACACCTCATTTTTGAAAATCGTACGAACGATACAGATTTTATGGCTTGGTGTTAAATATTTAACGCAACCATCTCCGAACTCGATTAAGAAGTTTCACTTCAAAAAGGAAAAAGATTTACATAACTGCGTTTTGTGTTGGTCTTCCACCTTTTTGGCATATTGAAATGGCCTTTCTTGGGTTTTGGAATAAAAACGTTTACATGCAACACGCAATATGTAACATGCAACATGTCATGCCAGATGCAAAAAAACTGTCAACAAGCTTATAAATTATGTATGTATTTACATATATATTGCGGAAATAGTTTACTTGTTTTGTAGAGCTTTTAAGGTGCTTCAAACTATTTATATTTACATAATGTTTTTAAAAATTTTCAAATTTCAGCAACCAACAATGAAATATTTTGCACATTAGTTATCTAAGGTAAAAAATCTGCTCACCTAGAGCTTGAGCCGGTATGGCACCGTCTTTTGTCAGTACAACTGTGTATGATTCAGAAACAAAAATATTCAATATAAAATTCAGTTCAGCACAAAAATTTCGTTAACTATTAAATAAGTTAGTAAACACAAGCATCGAATATGAAAATCTTGCAAATTTGGCATGTTTTGGCTAACAAATTGATTGACGTATAAACCAATAAATTATGCAAATCATGTTCGCTTCACTGTCAAACTATTTACGAGTCTTTTTCGCATATAAATTTTTATGTGTTGTTTGCATTCAATGAAACGTCCAGTTCTACACATAAATTGCAGCATTTTCTCTCTAAAAGTCGCACATAGCCAGTAAGCGGATTGTTTAATATGTATTTCCGAATATCTAAATAGCGCGATTTTCATGTTTCTTCTTATACAGGTTTTTTTAACTAAAAAATTTTCGCAAAAATACTTTAGAATTTTCCTGGAAATTTGAAGTCTTTCTTGCCTTATTAAGAGAACAACTTTTTACATGCAATTCATCTCTGCCTTAGAGCTTAAACAGACGGCAGCGTTGATCCGGATCAACTCGGGAATTAACTGCAGTAGATCCGGATTAAGTCCCAGTAAATCCCGATCAACGCTGCCGTCTGTTTAAGCTTTTAGGTCGATTTGAGCGACTATTGTTTCTAACCACAGAATTATCTCCTCAAGCACATCAAACAAAAGTTCTACGATTTTCAGCTGGACTAACAATAATTTCAAATCTATTTCATTCATAACGTTTTTTATTGATTTCACGATGGCCTTCGGAATTGACGCGACCTGGGCCTATGGTAATTAATTAACGAAACGATATATCGAGAGGAATGTTAAAAAATGGATGCCACTTCTCAGTTTCATGGCGTACATCAGCTCAGTAGAAAAAAACACTCGAAAGCCTGTGCTTAATGAGATCTTTGTCAAAGTTCGAAGGCAACAACTATGCTGACGCCTCTCAAATGCTTTTCCTGTTAATGCCCTTAATCTTAGAGTAATAAATATAAACCTAGAATACTGACTTCAATTAATGCGTGGCCTATTTTTAATAATTTCAAATGTTTTCTAAAATGAAAGGTCATATTTTTATATTTTTATTATCAACTTACCATTTGGAAGAGCTGTAACTTTTTTGGTCTGCACACGAGCCGTGGCGTTGTTCACCTTTTTTTTTTATTGAATTTCAATTTATTGTCCAAATGTTCCCGCGGTGGAAGAGTTAAAAATGATACAAACATGTTAGTATGTACATACACAGGTATTAATGCTTATAGACGTGAGTACAGAGATTGCATGCATTTAAAAACTAAAGTGGATTCTTTTAATAATAATACATACATACATACATACGTATGTAAGCACAAAATTCGTACAATTATGAGTAACTTAATGCTATACATAAATGCTGTACGTAATTTTCAAAATAACTATTGATGCGGTAATTTAAATTGAAATTTGCTTACTCTGAGGAAGGCTTTTATTGTGCAACAACAAAATGTATGTATGTATATCGCCCAGTCGATGACGTCCAGTTTTCCATAGCTAGAGTACTCTTTAGTTATTTTCCCGGTCATAGCTGAAAGTTTGTATTCATTTTCAAAATATTGTGTTTGTTGCGTTCGCTGTGGTAGCGGAAAAGTGGGGCGCCTTTGTAGGCGAAAATTTCAATTATTCAGTGAAAAACTGCAGCAGATAATATTGCAACTTGCAGAGCAATTATTTATAAGAAGGAAATTGAAAAACGTTCAAATATTATTATACCACAGCTAATACATATACATACATATACATATTTACATAAACACGCAGATTGCATATGTATGTATATATATATGTAAACGCATCCGTATTGGATACATGCAGCCGTACATGGAAGCTACGTACATAAATATGTACATAATTTAGCAGAAATGTTGGACAAAGCAAGAGCCAAAAAGTACCGCATTATTAATAATAAATTACATACATATGTATGTACATGCATCACCTTCCACCACGTGTCTTTATGGCTAGGATATGAACACTCCACTACTACTACTACACTCCATTTGGTGGCTGCCCAAATATGTAGCGGCAGCAACATGCAAAGCAAAATAGTTCAATGATTTCATTTGAAAATCAGCGGCCAAGAGAAGCATCGACTGCGAAACGAGGCCATAATTTAAACTGAATTTGAACAAATTCAACAACTCTTGTAACCCAACAAAGTACAAATGTATTTATCTACAGAGACGGCAATGGTGTCCGCATAAAAAAATGCACAGGAAATAACAAATGAAAATATGTACATATATAGATTCTGGGTGTTAACACTTGCCTGGTTATCAGGTGATTATTCTATAGTGTAAATATTTTATTGTTGTTAACTGATGAGATGGTTCTAACGGGTGATTTTTTTGAGGTTAGGATTTTCATGCATTA